TGGCCTCTTTATGGCTCAGCTGGAACAGGCAAAGCCTGGGCCAGAAGCAAAACACCAGGGTGAAGACTTTTGTAGCCCCTCAGTGTCCCTCACTAAGTAGGCTGAGAGCCAAGGGATGTCGGATGGTTTGAAACACCACAAGCAGTGTGTCAAGGGTGGAGGAAGCAGAGTAAGGAGAGTGAGAGTAAGGGAGCTTATTTGAGGAGAGAGAGAGAACTGGGACAAAAGATATGGGGGAACATGTGCAAGTGGAACAGGGATAACTAGATTAGAAGCCTCTCACCACAAGAGACAGGGGGAGAGTGGAAGGACAGTAAATAACTGACTGCTGCTATGTAAGATAGGCCTTGGTGGCAGGCCAGAGGGGTGTGTGTGTCTTGTAAAGAAACCTACCAATCTACGATGTCTGCTGATAAACTGGGTCTTGAACTCCTTCAAGAAATAAGCACTCACCAGTTGAACACTGAAGAAAGGGAATCTGCTGACATTCTGAAGGCTTTCCTTACTAAATTTTGAAGTGTTTTTTTTTAAAAAAAGATCTATGTGACGTTCTTAGTCCTCCTAACCCCCTGAAGTGCTGTATAAATAAAAGAATCATAGTCATCTAGTACTAACCCATTCTGTTTATATGTTCAGTTTGACTGGCAGAGCTTTAAGTTTACCATAGAATATTATCTGTTTTAAAAAAGACATAAAGTACTTGTAGTTATGCTGATTCTCAGAGCTGTTTGCTAAATCTGAAGATATAAAATAAAACAATGTATGCCAAAGATGAAATATGTGCCCAGCTCCAACATGTCGATTTAGTGTATTGTGCAGCAGACTGTAGTATAGCTCATAACTTTATAAAGAGCCCTCAGATATTTTAAGAATGAAAGGCACTATGCAGTCAAACCTATATTTTCTTCATTGCCTTGGATGCCAGCGTTTGTCCATAGTAAGCTGTGGCTTTGCTAGTATAGCTTGTTGTGGTTTCTGAAGAGTATGTTCTGTACATCTAAATCTAGAATTTCTCTTTGACTGTACTTATTTTAACTATAGCTCTTCAGACAAATCACAGCAGCTTTCTTTATCACAGAGCCCAGGCAGAACGAAGGGTAACTAGCAGCTGGGAAGGTTATCTTTTTTATGATTGCAGCAGATGTTCAGCCTGTGTGAGTGTCTGGAGGCAGTTGGAGGATGGATTGGGGCTAACAGATTGAGGCTGAATCCTGACAAGACAGAAGTACTGTTTTGGGGGGACAGGAGGCAGGTGGGTGTGGAGGACTCCATGGTCCTGAATGGGGTAGCTGTGCAGGTAACTGTGCCCCTGAAGGACCAAGTGCGCAGCCTGGGAGTCATTTTGGACTCACAGCTGTCCATGGAGGCGCAGGTCAATTCTGTGTCCGGGGCAACTGTCTACCAGCTCCATCTGGTATGCAGGCTGAGACCCTACCTGCCCACGGACAGTCTCACCAGAGTGGTGCATGCTCTGGTTATCTCTCTATGTGGGGCTACCTTTGAAGGTGACCCGAAAACTACAACTAATCCAGAATGTGGCAGCTAGACTGCTGAGACCACATAACACTGGCCTCAAAAGACCTACATTGGCTCCTAGTATGTTTCCAAGCACAATTCAAAGTGTTGGTGCTGACCTTTAAAGCCCTAAATGGCCTCGGTCCAGTATACCTGAAGGAGCGTCTCAACCCCCATCACTCAACCCAGAGGTCCAGCGCTGAGGGCCTTCTGGCAGGTCCCTCACTGCGAGAAGCCAAGTTACAAGGAACCAGGCAGAGGGCCTTCTCGGTAGTGGCACCCACCCTGTGGAACGCCCTCCCACCAGATGTCAAAGAGAACAATAACTACCAGGCTTTTAGAAGACATCTGAAGACAGCCCTGTTTAGGGAAGCTTTTAATGTTTGGACTAATGTATTTTAATATTTTGTTGGAAGCTGCCCAGAGTGGCTGGGGAAACCCAGCCAGATGGGCGGGGTATAAATAATAATAATAATAATAATAATTATTATTATTATTATTATTATTACACAAGCAAGAGGTTTAGTATCAGCCCTTCCAATGTTCCCAAACATAATTCCTGCCCTGAAGCAGAAATTCATCTATGGGGTGACCAATATAATTAGCAAACCTGGTGCATCTGTAATACACATAGGTCAAGATTTGTGATCACACAAGAGTAAATTCCAGTGGAACCTACCTGCTGAGTAAGCATGCATGGGATTGCAGCCTTAGTGATGAAGGATGAGAGAAGATGAAGCCCAGTACCTCCATGTGATCTCACAATTTATTTATAGCTTGGAAAACCTAATGCAATAAATCTTTTACTTAACGTACAGTATAGGTTGTGTTTAGATATGCGATACACAATTTAATAGAACTGAAATCCTGTGTATGCTTATGTGTTTAGCATCATCAATTTGGCACTTACCTAAACAAAACACCTCTTCTTCAAATTCGTTTCTTATGAATCCAGTGATTAGCTCTTCCAGGGTGACTGCTTACACATTGCCAAAATAAAATAAAAGAAGACACAAGTTTGCATATAATTTGCACCCTTAAAATTACTACAATTTTAACAGATTTTTTTTTTAACCAGAGCAGGTGACCTGCAGCCTGCTGTCCAAATGCAAACTGTTGATGAGCAACTTCAAGGCCCTTGCCTTGAAGGGGGCTTTTTATGGTTCTTTTATCTTTAAACTTTTATCTTTAAACTTTAAACTGGACTTGGACTATGCAGCTCGTCCAATAGAGGATTGTCCTTGGTAAAGTTGAACAATTTGTCAACCTAAACAGTATACGTTGAAGCAAAAATGGCATCTAGCCCCCACCCCCCACCCCTTTATCACCTGAACAATACATTTGGTGCGAGGGAATAACGTAGAAAAGGGCCACCACAGCACTTCCCATCCTGGCCAGAGTTGAGTAGTGGATCCTAGTAGGTGGTAGCTTCTCCGCCATGGAATCTCCTCAGCCCATTCTCCCCCTCACTTTACCTTGCTCTGGTAATGTCAGAGCAAGCACTGTGAATTGGGCCCAGGGAAAAAAGTCAGACAAATATAATTTATTTGTGGTCCACTGGTCGCAAATGAAAAGTTTCAGAATGAAAAATGCATGAGATCTTCAAGAGAGGGGGAAAACCCAGAAAGCAAGAAGATTGTCTAAAGGAAATTACAATATTTAGACTTGCTCAAACTTATTAGAGCCCTCTAATAAAATGACCAACTGAGACCATCATCCTGTGATGGCATCTGACCATCCCTTTATTTAAAAAGAACACGTGACACAGATTAAGATAGTCCCAAAACATTTCCCCTACTTTTCCCACCTCGTGCAGAATTCTATAAACCGCTATTACGTTCTCACCTACTTTGTGGAGTTCTCACCGAAACTCTTCACAGTCCCTTTTTGGTTTTACTACCCTCAACAAAACAGTGTCATCAGCAAACTTGGCTGCCTCTCTGCTCACACCTACCTCCACATAATTTACAGACATATTAAAAACACTGGTATCATCACAGATCTTTGAGGAACCCCACTTCCATTGTGAGAATTGTCCATTTATTATTGCTCCCAGTTTTCTGTTATTTGGTTACTGAGCCATAAGAGAACCTTTCCTCTCATTCCATAACTACTAAGTTTAATCAGGAGCCTTTGGTAAGTGGACTTTGTGTAAAAAAAAAAAAAAAGTCCAAAGAGTTCTGAGTAAATATGTATACAGGGCAGTAGCAGATGGAATGGTGGGGTGGAGGCAGCTACCTCACCTCCTGGCAGGTGAGCCGCTGATGCTTACTGGGAGGTTCACAGTGGTGGCAAGGTTGGTGCAGTGCGAAGAAGAAGAAGAAGAAGAAGAAGAAGAAGAAGAAGAGGAAGAGGAAGAAGAAGAAGAGGAGGAGGAGGAGGAGGAGTTTGGATTTGATATCCCGCTTTATCACTACCCGAAGGAGTCTCAAAGTGGCTAACGTTCTCCTTTCCCTTCCTCCCCCACAACAAACACTCTGTGAGGTGAGTGGGGCTAAGAGACTTCAGAGAAGTGTGACTAGCCCAAGGTCACCCAGCAGCTGCATGTGGAGGAGCGGAGACGCGAACCCGGTTCACCAGATTACAAGTATACTGCTCTTAACCACTATACCACACTGGCTCTCAAAGGTGCCAGCAGAGTCAATCCGGTGCTCCTGCTAGTGTCATATGCACTGTGCCACCCTCCACAATATCTTGCCCTTCTCCCTCCTGGTAAGCAGCAGCAACTCACCTGCTGGGAGGTCAGGTATACATCTCCACGCCACCATCCTGTCCACCACTGTGGACACAGTATTCATATTGATCTCAATATTCATATTGTGGAAATAAGACATTTTGGGTGTAGAGCTGACATGTTTGGCTATCGCTAGGACCTTGGTGTGTAGCTGCTAAGAGGTTCTGTTCATGGAGATTCTAGGATACTCCTGTTAGAGTGACTCGCGAGGTAAAGGTGTGGAGAGAGAAAAGGAACTCTACAATTGGCTTCTTTCTCCTTTTCTTTACAACTCTGTCAGCCTCCGATAAAAGCTGGCTCCCGGCAAGTATGAAATCAAGCCTTTGACTTCAGATGCGAAAGAATTTAGAAGGCCCTGCCCCCCCCCCCCCGCCATGACTCAGAGCTTTCCAACTGAAATAATGTTTCCCAGCTGGCCAGGAACTTTGGGAAGGCGGCATCATTTTACCCTCTGCTTCAGAGACATGTCATGGATGGCAAAAAACCCACCAACATCCAAATGGCAGATTTATGATTCTATAGAACTTCAAGCACAACCGATGGTGAAACTGGATCCTTCAAACAGCTTTTGAGTAAGAAGAACTGGATCCAATGGACTGAAGTGAAAGCTGAAGAGGTAAAATAAACGAGTCAGAAGTGTCTGTGTCCCTGAGTCTATGGGCTGATTCCCATGGAACATTTTTGTACACTTTGCCGTGGTGTACACAAGGATGCACACATTTTTATGTACACAAATATAATGTGGGAATCAGCTCTATGACTACCCTGGATATACCTTTCTCGGGCTGCTGAGCAGTTTCCTACATCCAAGGCCCCCAGGCTTTCTTCGTTCCTGGGTCACAATGAGGGTCATTTTCTGGGTAGAACACGGGAACGGAGTTATTGTTATAGTGCTGGAGACGCAAAAGGAGCTTTTTCACAATGTCAGGATATTGTTCTGACAAGTCACTTCGTTCCTTGGGATCATTAACAATATCATAGAGCCAAAGTTTCTTTCTTGGAGGGTCTGAAGACAGAGCCTCTGACTCATCAAATAAAGATGGCGGTGGAAACCAGTGGGAGCAACCTATAAACAGCAACAGAGCAGATTAGAGGTTAGTTGGGACAGCATTAGCCTCTTAATTTGTTTCCAGCTTGTTCACAGATCTGACTTGTTCAATTTTAGAGAAGTGGAATTGAACTTGCGATGCGGAATTTGTTTTTTTCCTATGGAGATTTGCCAGCTGACCAACAGAATACCCAGAAGATGAATTAAATGTTAGTAGGAAGAAGAGTTCCTAATATAAACTGTATGAAGCTCAGTCTGCAGCAGAGCTATTTGGCTGAGGTTTGTTGCTCTTTTCTTGGTTTTGACACCACCGCCCTCAACTCCTTTCTCTTACTGCACCTTTTGCAGCCTTTACATATTTTTTTATAACGAACATTCAACGATCAGTGGGTGAACTTTGAGCAACAAGACACACACAAGCGGACAAACAGTGCCATCCTAGAAACAAGGTAAGAGATTAATCTGCAAGAACACTGACTGACATATAGGAAATTATAGTACCAGCTGGATGCCTCAACTGGAAAGCTGGGATGCCTGCCATTGAGTGAGCTTTCTAGCAGGTGTGCCTCTTGCTGCTTCAAGTGACAAATTTGAATACAATGCTTCATACTATGTCAAAACAGATAGTGCATGTGGGAATGTTAGCACACTTTAAATAAATAAGTTACTTTTTCAGGCAGAACAGCCTAAACTGGTCATCTTTCCCACCTCTGTAAGCTGCCCAGGAGGAAATGTCTATTGATGGGTGGCCATACACATTTAACCAACCAACCAACCAACCAACCAACCAACCAACCAACCTTATTTTAAGGCTGAAGGGCAGGGAGTTCTTATGATCATTATTAAGCCAGTTCTTTCTTACACCTCTGGAGCATCAATTGTTACCAAAACCAGTATTCACAAATTTAATACAGCAAATACCAGGAAGTGCCATTATCTGGAACATGCGAAAGGGAGGAATCCCATAAAAAGTTACCTGGATTGCCGGTTAGTAGTTTCCATTTTCCATGTCGAATTGCAGCATGTATGGAGGTATTAAAAATTGAATCTTCCCAGGAAAAATAATTACTCTGTGATGAAGTTCTGTTGCTGATACCTGCACCTAAGATCAAATAGGACACGAGTATTATATCCATTGTGAAATTATATTGTTTGTGTGTGGAATAGGTAAAAAGGTAAAGGACCCCTGGAAGGTTAAGTCCCGTCAAAGGCGACTATAGGGTTGTGCCTAGGACTTGCCGATCAGAAGGTCGGCGGTTCGAATCCCCGCAATGGGGTGAGCTCCCGTTGCTCGGTCCCTGCTCCTGCCAACCTAGCAGTTCAAAAGCACGTCAAAGTGCAAGTAGATAAATAGGTACTGCTCCAGCGGGAAGGTAAACGGCGTTTCCATGTGCTGCTCTGGTTCGCCAGAAGCGGCTTAGTCATGCTGGCCACATGACCTGGAAGCTGTACGCCGGCTCCCTCGGCCAGTAAAGCAAGATGAGTGCCGCAACTCCAGAGTCGGCCACGACTGGACCTAATGGTCAGGGGTCCCTTTACCTTTACCTTATTATATCCATTGTGAAATTATATTGTTTGTGTGTGGAATAGGTAAAAAGGTAAAGGACCCCCGGAAGGTTAAATCCAGTCAAAAGCGACTATAGGGTTGTGGCGCTCATCTCGCTTTCAGGCCAAGGCAGCTGGCGTTTGTCCACAGACAGCTTTCTGGGTCATGTGGCCAATATGATTAAACCACTTCTGGCACAATGGAGGACTGTGACAAGTGCCAGAGTGCACTGAAACTTATTATGCATTTTAAAGAAAGACTTATAATTATAAATGCACTTATGGTGAAGACAGAGGAATCATTTGCTAGAGTTGTGGAGATAGCATGGAAGTGTAACAATAACATTCCATACAAATATAGCCTTCTTTCCCCATGGTCAACACCTGAAAATAACAGTTCTGCAAGTTTGCAGATAATAGGTGTAGCTGGGGGGGGGGCAGACTGGGTGCCACACTGTGGGGAGTGGAACTTACCATGGGCCTGCAGTGCTCCTGAGTCACGCGTCTCTCCTGGGAGTGGCTTGGTGGCTTGGGAGCCTGCAGGCTGCCCAAAACGGCAATGTGGGGCTTGCGTCCACCCGCTGCCACCCTACAGCTGAGGGGGAGGTGGTGGGCGGACTCCATGGAGGCTCTGCTCAGTGTGCCCTGCCCTGGCTTGCCCCACCCCCAGGCAAAGGGCACACATCACCCTTGGCACCCAAGCAGCTAGCTATTCTGCTTCTAAAGATACCACCAGTGCTTTTTTTCTTTTTTAAAAAATGTTTAGGAGTACTCTCATTTTGACTCAAGAAAACCACCATTTTATAGTTCAAATCAGGGAAAATAAATACAGTAAATGGGCAAAAGTACAAAGATTCACAAAATGTTTAGGGGTATGCGTACCCCTGCGTACTACCACCTCCCCCTTCCCGGAAAAAAGCACTGGATACCACCAAGACACTTCCCTCACAATGCCCAAATCAGTTTTTAAAACCTGCCAGGTTTTTAAAAATAAAGCACAGGCGAAACAAATATGAATGTATGTGAGGTGCTTAAATATAACATAAAAAGGTGAGCAGTATCCCCGAAGCATAAGGTGTTTCTGGCAAGAGTGATGGCTGATTGAGCATTTGACTTGACAGACAATAGATCTGTCATGCAATCATGTAATTTTAAAGTATTGCATCTGTGTTGATTATTTAAAGGCCATTTGTATATATTTGCATGTTTAGACTTTGATTTCTTCTTTTACAGTGTTATTGTGTGAAGGCAAAATTTTGAGTGCTTCCAATATGATAAAAAGATCAGTTCTAAATTAAAATTACGTTACAGAAAGCAATCTGTCTGTGTATGGTACATGCATAAGTGAAGGGCGTGTCGATAGATGACAGCAGCAGAGAAGGCCCCCTCTTTAGGATGGAGTAGGAAGATTCAGAAAAGCCTTGTCTGTGTAGGCAGACTCATCTTTCCCTTTATTCCAGCAGAACAGAAAGCATGCCTGATTGCCAGCGATGTGTGAGGCCTGAGAACACAGTGCAGCCTTTAATTTGGCCCTGCCAATAATGTAAATATTATAATGAACATGTGTTCCCAAGCCTCCAGCCTAATGAGATGGATGCAACCTGGGCTAGCCACAGTCCTAAGAATCTGCTAGAAAAAGGCACACACCAGCCACAGCTTAAACACTGCTGAGTAACCATATTCTTTCCATATTCTTTGAGCACATAGAGTTTGCTACTGTTTTTAATTTTTATTACTATAATTGTTTTATCCTTATGTTATTATTATTTCAGGAATGTTTCTGTCCTCTCTTTCCAGTTCGCAAACTGAACCACTCAAAGTGTCTTATGAAACAAAAGTAAAAATAATAATAATGCCTACACACTATTACAATAAAAGATGCAGATAAAAAGCACCACAAATCAGTCAACCTATAAAAATGAAGTAAACCACCAGAAAACAAATATCCAGCTTCTGGGACAAAGACCAGCCTAAATAAAAATGTTATATACCATCAAACAGAGAGGAAGTATGGGTCTCCCATGATATGATGCTTCAGAGAGTGGGAGAAAACACTCTCCCATGTCCCTACCTTCTATACCTTAGGTGTAGGGTGAAGAAGAAGAAGAAGAAGAAGAAGAAGAAGAAGAAGAAGAAGAAGTGGAGGAGGAGGAGGAGGAGGAGTTTGGATTTGATATCCCGCCTTTCACTCCCTTTAAGGAGTCTCAAAGCGGCTAACATTCTCCTTTCCCTTCCTCCCCCACAGCAAACACTCTGTGAGGTGAGTGGGGCTGAGAGACTTCAAAGAAGTGTGACTGGCCCAAGGTCACCCAGCAGCTGCAAGTGGAGGAGCGGAGACACGAACCCGGTTCCCCAGATTACGAGACTACCGCTCTTAACCACTACACCACACTGGCTAAAAGTGCCTCTCTTAATAACCTTTGAGTCCAGGCAGCATAATCTAGGAGGAAATAGTCCTTCAGGTATTCTGGTCCTAAGCTGTAGCTCACCAAAAACACCTCCACACAGATTCTCTCAGTAAACCATACAACAGCAGTGCATCATAGGTCATTGTTATTATCATCCTATACCGCAGTTGGAGGACTGACAAAGAGAGAGGGTTGTTTGCCTGAGGCTAGCACAGGGTGAGTTGAGGTTTCCTCTTTCTGTCTGACAATAGGGAATTCATCCGCACCTTTAATGATATGTGCAGCGTTTTATTAGGTGGTGAGTGAAGTCATTTATGAAGGCAAGCTCCTTTTAAGAAGCACTGATGATGAAACATTTCCATGAGATTTGATATGCTCTTTTAGAACAGCCACTTTCCCACACTGTTTATAAGTGTAAAATAAAGTCAGTCCAGCCAACTCTAAACTTCCAGGGGTTAAACTATGCTGGTTTATGTTTTTCCTTGATCTCTGTAAATTTAATTACACTTTTAACAGTTTTCTTGCTCTACTTTCAACATGGAACAAGAATGAAAGGAAAAGTCTGCCAGACACACACTGAATTAGAAAATCGTTGAGGTAAAGGACTGCACGTGGTATTTATTATCTAGGCTGGAAAATTCAAATCTTTCATCATTTTGTGTGTACATTCCATATGACTCGTTCCAAATTGATCCAAACTTTTGATTTTCAATTTATAAAAGCAAACATCACGGGCAATATATTGCAACGATAATTTATATGTAAAAGGTTTCAGAACAGACAGTATCTGTTTTGTGTGGAAGTATAAGGCAGAGAGAGAAATACATATAAACCAGAGTTTCAGCCTATTTATCTAAACAACTGAATTAAAAATCCTAATGCTTTCAGCCTAACTTTTCACCCCCAAAGTGTTAAGTAAAGGTAACTACAGGCAACCCCCAATTTGTGTGAGGGCTGTTTTCTTGGTCCTCACACGTGACAGCTGAGCATGTCTAAGCCAGCTCCACCCCCTTTTCTGGTCATTTCCAGGTCGCCACGATGCATGAGGTCACGCATCAATTGGTTGTTGCCTGTACATTTGTTACCCTGCCTTGACTCTCCCATAATTTCTTAAGAAGAGCTCAGCTGTGTCAGAGCTGGAGTCAGGCATGCATCAGCAATAAAACAATAAACCACCCGAGGCCAATGAAATTATCTCTTTATTCAAGGAAACAAACCACAGCTCAGTCCTAGTGGTCTCAGCAACTCTTTCCAGGAGGTCTTGCCCCTAATGAAGCAGTTGTGACAGGTGAAGGTCTCCACCTCCACAGCGCCCACTAGGAATCCTTCTCTCCAAGGTCTTTCCCAAGCAGTCGCAAACTGAATCTCCACACTCTGCTCTGCTCATTTCGGTTATCTGCAATGTTCTAGGAGATCAAGGGGGAGGGGAGCTGGTTGCAGCAGGAGGGGAAGACTGTCTCCTGGCCCCACTCTCTGTCTCCTGGCCCCACTCCTCTCCAGTCCCTGCTTCTGCCTCTGAGTCTGAACTGTTCTTGGCTGCAGCCTCTTCCTGTTACCTCTTCAGCTTCTGACACCTTCTCCTCCCAGTCTGCTCCTTTTCCCATTCATTGTCGTCAGAGATATGCTGCCTCTAAACCTGGAGCTTTCATGTAGCCATAATTCCCTCTAATAGTGATCCCAGGTGTTTGAGTGCTGGTCAGTTTGGAAGCAAAAGGGGCCATCTCAAAACAGCTAGGGGTTTCTACATACTTCAGAAACTCCCTTCCCCCTTCCTGAAAGTCCCCTGCCCTCTAAGAGGCCGCAGGGCATTCCTCTTAAAAAGTGGGGAGAGACATTTCCCACTTGCCATGAAGAATTCCCAATGATAGACCTGTTTCCATAAATCAAATTTCATTCAAAATCCATCTAAGTCCATAGTCATCATCAGATCATGTAGCAGCAAGTTCCATCAATTTATTGTAGGAAGTGTGTAAAAGTACTTCTTTTGGTTGGTTTGAAATCACTCAACATTCATCTCCACTGGGTGACTTGAGATTTTAGTATTATGAGGAAGATCTCAGTCTTTGACCCATTTTAACTGTCTTTTTTTCTAAATTTCAATTTCTTCATAAATGTTGATCATACGCTCCTGTGTAGAATTACTGTGTTT